TTAACTGATAAACTTCTTAAATTACGATGTTTGTATGAGATGAGAATATTCAATCTAAAAACTGTAACCAGAAAAGTTTAATTTCAAGTGCCACTAAGAGCAAGATGCATTGATATCGACATTAAGTGTTAACTAATTCCATGCTAATAGAGCCAAACACCTTATCATTGTCATGTTGTCACCATCTTCAACTGTCCTCTACACCTCTAGAGCTCTGCTAAGTGTTTTAAGTCAGTTCTGAGTCTATTTTGCTTCCCAGTCTCTATCGAAATTATTAATTTCCTGGTGTCAGTGCCTTATAAAATCCAATGCATAACCATAGTCAGGTATATTTAATATTTTATTTATTGTGGTCAGAAGGACTTCAAAAACTTATTTAGAAATATATCTCCTTCTAAGCTACATATTTTTCTTGTGAAATATTAATGTTTATTGTCTATTAATATTTGCACTAAATCCCATTTTCTTAAATTTTTCTATCTCATTTATCTACTCTTATCTGAAAAGAGCTTGCTGCCACCTCTAGGACTAAATAAGTTTAATTTTAAAATAAGCTAAAAGTGATTCAAATGAAGTGATTTTCTTCCTGCTGCTGTACTCATCCTTTGTGCTTTAATGCTCGGTGTTTGTCTTTGCAAATACACAAACAAATAAGAGGAACATATACGGAGAGATTTAAAAGTATTTCTGCATTAGCCTTCATATCCAGAAATCATTGAACCTTCCTTATTTATAGCCAAACTACATAGAACCATCTAAACGGATTCTCAGTGAAAAGTAACCTATCAGAATTGAGAAATAGATAGAGTAAGGTTTAACATAGCATAGCCAATATTTTAATATAAGTTTATATTTAGATAAATGTTATTTCTTAATAGCTACAAAAAATAGAGCTGGAGCAAATTTTCTTGGTTGGTGAGGAGCCACAAAACATTTATAATCTTAAGCAAGGTATCTATATAGTCACCCCTCCTAGAAACATCAGAATCTCAGGGAAAAAAAATCTGTAAAATACTTGTGATCATCAAAACTGGGCATAGGTTTTTAGTGAGAAAACTTGAATTTATATGAATTCTACAACAGGCTGCTGTGGGTCATGAACAGAAAAATGAGTTTAGGGGTACAGAAAAGCCATCGCTGTGTAAAGTGTAAATGAAGAAGCAAACTAAGTGCTCAGTGGTTTATACACATAGCTCCTTCCGTCTCTTGTATCAGTAAAGCTGACACCTCCAGGACTTCTTCAGCAAGCTGCTGCCATGTCCCTTGGCCAGAACTGTGCCCCTTAGCCACTCAAAGCAAGGGAGCTAGAAAAGAACGCATTTTGCTTTTCTAACTGCTATAATGGAAGAGTGGCAAGCTCTTAGAAGGGTTTGGGAATTACTATCGAATCAGCAAACCAACAGTGTCTACCATACTTAGGTTTTAAATTAATGCTAGTTTATTATAGCAACAAATTCGAAAACCTTGTTTCCTTAAGCCTCTAACTTCGGTTTACAAACCTTACTATTCTATCTGTGGATCTCATAAAATAAAAGCAATTATCTTCACTTTTACTTCATTAATATTTAACTCAAGATGAATAAACCAAATTCCTTTTAACAATGAGTCCCATTCAAGCCTGTTAGTTAAATATATCAAGCTATTTTAAACAGCACTTTAAATGTTATAATTGATTTTAGTTCAAATATTTAAATGCTTGCTTAAAACTGCTAGAAAAATCTAATAAAATATATTTTAGATATAGTAATGTTAAATTCTCTTAAATATTTCAATGCTGTTTATTAACAGTCAAATTTTCTGATAAAAAAATCATAAGTTTAAATTTGATCATGTGTATTTAAATTGAAAAAGTAAGTTAATGTTATTCTTTAATTGCTCAATTCTCTTAAACATTTAAACATTTAAAAACTCTTAAAACTCTTAAGAACACTTTAAATTCCCAATAAGCACAGATTACCCCTACATTAAAACACAGTACCAATACTATACATTTATTAATTTCATTATCTCAGTATTTAATTCTGAAATTTATCATGATTGAAAATACACCTATCCATTAAGGGGAGAATTTTACCATACCTGGTGAACAGAGATTTCATCTCAAAGAAGCTGAAGTTAGTTTGGGGCCAACAATTTTTTATCAGGACACAGTATATGATGTTTGCTACATCCAGGATGATGGGACCTGAAGCTCTACCTGTAGGGAACTCCAAGTGCACACCCTTCAGGAGCAGATGGTCCGAAAGTTCACATCCCCAGGGTTCTAGTCAGACCTGTGCAAGGAAGGAAAACTTTTCCTCCGGCCTCTTAGGTTTAGCACCTGAGGCCTGTGAGTTAAACTGACAAAAGGCAGATCAACAAGAAAAAACGTTTGTCTGCATCCCAACAGGAGCTAACAGAGAAGCTAACTTACTAAATGGTTAAAGTTAGGGGCTTACATGCCTGACTTAGGGGAAAGGGGAAGAAAATGCTCCTAGAGAAAAAACAAAGAGGTTTCTTTAGGAAAGATAAATGGGCTTTTAGGAGAGCAAAGGTGAAATAAGAGTTTGTGATAGTGTTTGTGCAGATGTAAGTAGTCTTTCCCTCTTCTTGGTCATGAAATTCCCCCAGGGAGGAATTTTTGGCACGTTTACTCTTGGTCTCTTTCCTGGGAGTAGAGCCTTCTCAAAAAGGAAATTTACAGCAACCTCATTTCCCAGAAATTTCTGCTGTTACTCAGAAAAGAGGCGACCCCAGAAGGCTTCTTTCCGCATCTGTTGATTCTCAAATGTCATCAGCTTAAAATAATCTTCATACCAACTCTGAGGTTCCAAATAGGTTCCCCATACCTGTTAATATTTTTAAAAGAAGAAGAAAGAGGAAGAGAAATAGTGGAAAGAGAGGATAGAATTATGACTCTCATATAAATATAAAATTAAAATTTCTCAAAGACTTTATTTAACCCATTTACTAATGAAAAAACCAGTAAGATGTTACAACCAATTCAAAGAAGAATTGACAGCACACACATACACGTATATATGGGCCAATAAAAATGCTGAAATAAATTTGCTTAACACATGCAAAAATGACCAAGATCCATTAATCAGTGTATCTTACAATCTGTCTCTGGCACACACAATCTACATCTCTGTGGACAGAAATCATTTGCATTACTATAAATTTTCTGCAATTTACAGGGCTGTAAAATAACTCAAAGACAATGTAAGGTAGAGATAACCTGGCCCAATGAGCCTTACATTTTTTGTCCATTTCAAAGTCTTTCACAATTCTTCCTGTGATATCATTACGTCTCTTATCTGTAACTTCTTTCATTTTATGACCTAATTCACGTAGGCGGAGTTCTGTACTCCAGTAAACTTTAGCCAACTTCCTTCACTAATCTCTTCTCTGTCACATTAAATTTTTATTTTTTTCTTATTCCTTCCATCTGACAGGACCACAATTTTTATAAAGATTGTAATGTATAATGGATTTTGAGTATCTCCTGCTTTTTCTCTGACTCTGCCTGTGCTCACAACACTGGAGACATACTAAGGACACATGCAAAGAACAACACAAAAACTTCATGGGCTTAGCTTCTTCCTCTTTCATCTGGTGATCTATGGTTATATAACAAATTTTCAACTCCCAGTGTGTGTGTGTGGTTACTTAGTATTTTGCACCAGAGCATAAGATGCTCCTGGGGTTGTTAAGTATCACATACTGACTTGTCAATAAACAAAGGCACATTCTCACCTGCACATTCTGTTCCAACTACAGTTATCAAATACAGTTACTGAATTATCAAGATTCAATGCTCTGAGTAAATCTAGGTCTGTTCTTACCAATTTTATTATTGATATATCCAACCTGCAACCTTTATAGGCCCATAGATATGCCAATTCAAATCCAAAACTATTCAAAAGTTGACATTTCAACCACTCTTGAAGGATCTTATCCAATGCAACCAGTAACCCCTCACATTCAAATAATGATACCCCTTTTTGAAAGGAATTCTACCATATATGAGAACATGCTTGAGGACATTATGCTAAATGAAATAAGCCAATCACAGAAAGACAACACTTCATGATTTTACTTGTATGAGGTATTTGAAATAGTCAAACTCATGAAAGCGGAGAGTAGAATGGTGGTTGCCAGGGGCTGGGGGCCCAAGGAAATGGGGAGTTGCTTATCAAAGAGTAGAGACAAGTTTCAGTTATGCAAAATTAATACGTTCTAGAGGTCTGCTATATAACATTGTGCCTTCGGTTAACAATACTGTATTGTGCACTTAAAAATTTATTAAGAGGGCAGATCTCACGTCAAGTGTTTTTGCCAAAATAAAATATAATTTTTTTATAACAGAGAAGAACTGTAAAGACTCGACAAAGTAGAACTTGCTCAGTAAGGTAATCGTGTGAGAACAGCTATACTGTTTAATGTGTGAATACATAATGTAAAGCGAGGTAGTAATAACCATGGCAGCTTTGGGTCCAGAGAAATAATTAGGAGATTATGTCATTCAAGAAAATGTTTAAATATTGTATAAAAGGGTAGAAACTTAGCAGTCCCCTTGGTAAGGATATAAAAGGCCCCAAGGCCTACACAACGCATTTATGGTTAAGACATTACCGCCAACTTTGTGGCATCCAGCCTTTTTTTTTTTTTCAGTTGGGGACAATGGAAAAGTTCTCAAAATGGGTAGTGGTGATGGTTGCATAACAATGTGAATGCACTTAGTGTCATTAAAATGTACACTCACATGTGTTAAAATGGTAAATTTTATGTTATGTACATTTTGCCACAATAAGAGAATAATTTCAATTGCAATATATTTTTGTATTCCATCCCATATACTAATAGTGCCTCACATAATAACCTTTTGGAAAAGCTTATGGGGGGAAATTTTTAATTGTTCTTTATA